GCTTGTTCTAGTCTTGTGGGCAAAGCATTAACTGTGATGAACTCAGGGTTCCTGTGAGCTCAGCTCACATGGTAAGTCAGACTCCAGACTCCCAGTCTGTGGGAGTAACTCCACTGATGGCACTTCCTTAAGTAGAGTCATAGTGCTGTGCCCTTTATTCTCTGCTGTATAAACTTGCGCCCATTTAATCTAAGCAATTCTGCTTAAAATTGGTTGACATAGTGAAGTTCTTGCTGCAAGGTGATTGAAAAAGCAGAGAAGTGATGGGAAGTGATGCCAAACTGTAAGTGGACTGAACCCTGTTTTCCTTTTCAAAGTAAAACTAAATGTATGTGATCTAATTTAAAATGACAAGATGCTTTTGAAATATATATAAAATGTTTCATTTTAGTAAGAAGAAATGCTGAAAATCTTTTTTGCTACCTAGGAGACATGTGGATGACATTGGCAGCTTGTTACAACACAGTAGTACAAAGCAAGTTTTTTCCAACATTGCAAGAGTACATGTTTTTTTTTCAGTTTGAGATCTTACTACTATAAAGTCAGTCAACTGAGAAGAATTTCTCATGTTTTGGGTCGTAATAAATCTTCCAGAGCAGTGTCAACCAACACCTTGGGCAGTTTTGCTGGTTCATATTACTCAATATCCTACAATACAAATTGCTGAAATGGGAGAAGGGGCTTAGGTACACATTTCAAACATTTCCTTCCTAGTTGTGGTCAGCACCATATGACTACATGAGAGAAATAGCAAGGGTTTCATCAATAATATAAGAGGTAAGATACATGTCAAGTTTTAAATTAAAAAAGAAAACAAACCCAAAACAACTCTTCCTTCCCTGCTCCCCCTCCTTATTCCCATCTAACTGTTCAACAGACTTTGTGAGAAGTCTTGGAACAATTTCCCTTTTCAACACTTCTAATTTAAATGACTTACTGGAAATGAATATTTCATGGCATATCAGGACTCTGTTCTTCAAAGCTTCATCTCTTTAGTGCTAATTATTTCAACAAGGCTTATACTAAAGGCAAATCCTGTCACTTCCCTATATTGTCTGCATTAACACTATAAAACTAGCTTCATATGACAGCTAAAGTTCTCATTTCTGGTATTTCTTCATTTTCACCTTTTAGTGTCTCCCACATAAAGAAGGGACACAGTCTGAAGAGATGTAGGGTTTGGAAGCCCTGTAGTTAACCAGCTATGGCCTCATTAGTAAAAAAAAAAAGCAAGATTGCTAAAATGTAATCCTCACTTCCCTTTCTCTTCAAGCCAAAGCCACCTTCAGTTTCTATACTGGAAATTCCCATAGTAGTATCCATAAACAATGTAATGTTTAGCCCTCCAGGTCAGTTTGAAATAGTATATATTGCCTGAATAAGGAAGCAAGGTCTGCTTAGAAACCTACCTGTTTGGAGTTAAGAAACTTGGAGAGCTTCCTCTAGACCTCACTTCTCTTGTCGTAGTAAAAAAACCTCCAATCAATCAACCTTCCACCTGTATTCATTTCACAATCTGATGGGCCCAGAGGTGATAAAATAACCCCCAAACCCAACACTCCCGTCATTTGATCAAATGGAAAGACGTGCAGTACGAAGCTGGGAATCTTTTCCATGTACCTTGGCCAAGGTCAAGATAACCCTGTGTCCAGCCTGTCCCCTGGGCTGTCAGCGTTTCAGACACACTTGCAGAGGCTCTTGCCACAGTTTCTTCATGCACTGTGCACACTGAGGAAAACACATGTAAGGCAAAGTCCAGGCTCCTCATATCACCCTTCAAAGCTCCCTCTTCTACCTTTACTCATACTCAACCTCCAGCAGCCCATCTCTTGTTAGCTGCAATTGGGAAAGTGAGTCTTCCTTTGTCCTGGCCTCTGCCTCTCTCTCGAAGTCTAGCTGAGCATCCAGGTGGACCCTCACATTGAGAACATGAATAACAAAAGCTGCTGGGCATGGCCTACGAGAGAACAGCACGGGGGCTCACGGTGACACTCTGCCTGCCACTTGCTGGTATAATCCTCCAGCTGAGAGCATTAAGGGCTGATGGCTGCTCTGTGTTGCCAGAGCAGCATAAAGTAAGACCGGTGCAGCCAAAGAGCTGTAAACAGTATGAGCAACAGTGGCAATAATTTCTCCAGACTACTCTTTGGGTCACTGAGCAGATCAAAGCTGAGGAAACACCTCAAAGGAGGAAAGAGCCAGAGTTTCAGACTTCCACTGTTTGTCCTCCAACCTCTGAGCTGAATGACGCGCATCAGTTTTGCCTTTCTAAAATTAGCGTTCACAAGAACCATGCTTCACTGCTTCAAATACTCGAGGCAGCTTTTCCCTCGATACCTACGTAGGGCCTTTACTCATCCACACTAAGTTTTCTGATGGAGAACTAGAAGGCTTTGCACGCCCTTACCTGTTCCCACAGTCGGTCTCCCACATGCCCAGCATCCTTGTTCACGGTAATCAGACATTTGAAACTAAAAACTCAATTCCAGATTTATGAAGTGCAGATTACTGTAAGGATGGAGTTATCATCACAAAACAACCTGCTGTTTATTATCAGGCCCTATAGGTTTTGACAAGTTTATTAGTTTTTGATGTGGATCTTAACTAACTCCCATTCCTTGACTATTAGAAGAGTTTTGGCCTCTTAAACACTTAATAAACACGATGAAACAATAAACTAGCTGAAATGAAAAGAAACGTTGTGGGATTAGCTCTGCATCTGAACGGAGCTCTTATTGTATTATTTAGCAAACACAAGGATAAATGATTGCAAGGTGGTTCTTTTGAAACAGCAAAACAAGTAGGACGATCTGGGGAGACATAGTGTGAGTAGGATTAAGTCTTATAAAGAAAAATCCCCCATGACATTGTACCTGAAAAAAACAAGGCGTTTTTCATTTGTCCGTACAAGCTATTGCAACAATTTCTGCAACAAAGCTGAAACGGTGTCTGCAGATAGCCATTGGGGTGCAAACTCAATGTTTGTATGAAGCATCCTGGCATGCACAAAAGATCTTCAGATGCAAAAGACTGCTTCTATATTTTGCATCACTAAATATTTGCAGTAGTCCTACAGCATTCGACAGCACTGTTTATGATTGAGGGCCAGATTGTAATATCTGCGTTCACAGCTATTTAGCTTTTACCCTAGCCCTGCCCAAATTTTCCTCTGTTTATCCTGCTTCTCTTGGGCTTGTGGCCATATAAACTATATGAATAATTGTACTTCTGTCAGGCTACTCACCCTGTTGGGACTGCCAGAATCTCACTGGGCTGATCAATCACAGTTTGATTGCTGCTGCCAGACTAACAAGGAGATTCCCCGATGTCAGTGAAGCTATTAGTGAAGGAAGGCGCCGGTCAAAGAGAATGAGGGTATCTCACATCTGATCTGCTCACTAGGAATGTGGAAGTTAGGGGAGCAACAACAACAGACAGAAATATTAAAAAGTCTTTTTGTATAGTTAAATACTTATTTGGGGATTGCGAAATACAGGAAAACGGGGAACAAATATATTAATCCAATAAAGACTAGACCGATGGAAATGATTCTACATGTGAAAGCTGAAGCCCAACAATGAAAAAGTATATATTCCAACAGAAAATCCATCACTCTTTACCTCCTTCTGTTAATACAATCATAGTTTATGCTAAGTCCGTCGTAAAACTTAAATGAGCTGGAAAAGAGAACATTCTGTTTTGCAATTGTTAAAAACAATTGAATATGATGTGAAGTTCGCTGTCGGTTTTGGCAGCAAGTCCTTGCTCCTTTAAACTCCTATGTACACACTTTCTATTCTTGTGTCACAGGGACTTTAAAAAGTCATTAAATTGGCTTAGCTTGCATGGGCATGAAGCGATCAGGACAATGTGGGGAGCAGCGTTTGAAAGACATAATTTGCAAGGTTGTGCTGGATGACAGCAGCACTTTGATCTGTCAAACGCCCCAAACGTGTGCTCACTCTGGGAAAGACAGGAATAAATGAGGAAAATAGGGTGATATTGGTCACTCAGCTGCAGCTACAAAGTCTTACCTGGCATGTGGCTGAGTTTTTGGGCAGGCAAAGAGTGTACCAGTGTGATACATCAACGAAAACCCCAGGATAGATCTGGTACTAGACAGAAATAGTTCTGACTCCATCTGCAGTGCTTAGCAAACAAATTTGTTTCATGAATTTTTCTTTAATCAGATTCTGAACTAAAATAATTCTTGCATCAGTGCAACTGGAATAAGGAATATTCTAAAAGCATGAACAACTGATAAGACATGAATAAAATGACTTCCATGTGTATGTGATTATTATAAATATGACTTCTCTTTTAAATAGAGTACTGTAAACAAATACATGACCCGGTTTATTAACAGAAATTGGCTGGATTACAGTTTGAAAATAAGATACACATGTTGGCAGTTACTATACTTCACTACAGCTAGGCCTTTAAAAAGCATACTTCATGTGTTTTTTTCCTGTAGAATTCCTAGCCTTTTTAGCTCGCCTCACCAGAAGATTTTGAGAACTATCTTTTCAAAACGGACACAGAAGCCTGACTTCTGAATCCATATTCAGACACGAGTGGGTAGATCCAGTCTCCGTCAGTTACACGGGCTGGGGTAGAAGCCAGAAAGGTGGTCCAGCCAGACGGAGTATGGCAGAGAGCGGGACTGGGTATAACTGTCTCGGTGGTTCACGTGCTCGCCGACAGGCTGTGGTGCTCGGGACACAAGACCAAGAGATGCCGGCCGGGTTCAACTCGGGGAAGAGCTGTGTCAGTGCACTGTCTAATTAGGGCTATTTCGTCTTGCAGGGTGGTTGTTCTCATCTCCTGGTCTGTAAAATGGTGACCAAACAGACCTTCCCTACTACCCATCGATGTTATTAGGGGAACTTAAACTGCCAGACTCTTAGGTACGAGTTGCCAAAGAAAGGTAGATTGTGTTGTTTTTTAGAGTAGCTTTTAGAGAAAAAGCTTCTCCACTTGGTATAAATAAAGAGAGAAACCTTGTGAACAGCAGCAGCCTGGCATTCGAGGCACGTGTGGGATGCCCGGGCCAAGTTCTTGTTCCCGGTCAGGCGGAGCCCTTGCTCTGCCCTGAGTCTGCTGCCTTGCTGGCGCTTAAAGCCGTAAGCGTTAGGCTGCTGGCCATTCCGGGGCAAGCCTCTCTCAGAGCGAGCACCTTCTCTTCCTGAGACACAACAAAAATGTGATTTAAGCACTTGACACGTTTTGAGAGGGCTCTGTGCTGGGATGTGCTGGTTGGAGTCGAGCGGGCAAGTTAGATCCCGTGGCAAGGAACGGGGATACAGAGCTGAACCAGAGCACCATATTCAAGCCTAAACAAATGATTGCTGTTGCACAGTTTGGACGGATGGCTGGCAAGAACTGCCAGAAGCAATTCAAAGATAATAGTCATGCGATGTCCCACTTCCCCATGTTAAGGAAATGCATGTTAATCCTGGCACTAATCCAGTACTGGGCTATGACATTAGACGGACATAGGCACCAGGTAGGAACATGTCTGCAGAGATCATTAGGGATGATTATTCACTCTCACAATACAAGAACTTTGTGTAGCAGATCTAGAAAAAAGAAGAGGAAACCCGGGCCCTGAATATCTGCTTCAAGCCCGTAATAATATCCAACATATCCGAGCAATGATGACAAAGTGTTTTGCAGACATTCATTGGGGTGTAGTGAGACATGACTTTCCAAGCAAAGCCTGGGATAAAATTACATCAGGGGCCGTGCCAGTCTTCAGCTGCCCTGAGCAGGTCAGTAACAGAGGAAAACTTTTTTCCCTATCTTATGTTACAGCTTTTCCCACGTTGCCAGAAAACCTTATATTATTTTTGGATTTGGTGCCGATTCTAACGTTGCTCTTCAATAAAGTGAAATAATTTGCCATTTGCAAAAGGAATACAGTTAAAATTGAGCACATCATCAATCTTACTAGAAAACAAATCCATTCAAATAACGTGAGATGGAAGTGTGTTCTGAAAACTCTCTAAAGAGTCTTAAAACACAGTAGGGGCAGAGAGATGGCATCCAGTTAGTCCTCTAGTCCTACCCACCATCATGCCTACGCTAAATAGCAAAATAATCAGTTTAGGAGGGGTCAGAAAATGGGTCGAAAATATTGAGAGAAGGACCCAGAAAAGGCAGTAGTCCTACCCCCCTCTGTTTCATTTCATTCTGCAAAGTCCAAGATTGTTTTCTTGTCTTTAGAAAATGAAATCCCTGCCCTGTTTTGTTAGAAAGTGTCGATCTTTCTGTACCACCTGTCTGCTCAGACAAGCAGGAAATTTCAGATAAATCTTTGTAACAGGCCCCTTTTTACTGTAAGGCCAAATAAATGGTTGAGGTATTTATTTCTGGGAAGAATAATAGATGAGTTTCTGCTCTGCCTCTGGGTTTGTGGCTGTTAATCAGTGACAGCAATTAAAAATTATTGCCTTGTAAATTGTTTCCATTACCAGCCTAGTTCATGTGTTGGAGGGAGGCAAAGGTGAGCAGGGCCGCGGCGGTCAGTGGATTCCTTGGGTTGGCAGCCAACACTGGTGCTATTGCTGTTATGTCTGTCTCCCTGTGACGGACGTTGGCTGGAGCAGAGCCCCGTCAGCCCTTGCAGCGTGAGTGGTAGAACGCATCTTGTATCGCAGCAGCTCCAAAGGGCTGACATGTTTCTCTCTACTTTCGTGCCTTCCCATCTTTGTTGCATGGTAGGCCTCTCTACTTTCGTGCCTTCCCATCTTTGCTGCATGGTAGGCTAAGCCACAGGGCAGCTATTGGCTTTACCGGCCACCTACGGTGGATGAGATGAACATCACATGGCTAAGGTTTCACAGCAAGCCCAGGCAGCTCATGGTGGCAGTGGCTCTGTCTCGTGGGGAGCTGAACTGCAGTGTCCCATGGCCCCAGCAAAGATCAGACTGCGTTTATGCACCCAGGCTTTGCAAAACAGCCATCAGTCACTGTTCAGGCACAGGGGACTTAGACGAGTTTTGGCAGCTGGATCCCCAAACACATTCAAAGAATGGGGTGGGACCAGGCTGCAACCAAACTGTTAGGAGTCAGTGGTGGAGACCTGGGGAACTCTTCCTGGAACAGAGACCCTCCATCACAGCAGGCCCTATGCCAAGAACTGCAGCGATGCAAGGACAGAAACATTCATCACACTGCCTATGAGGTGGTAGTTTTGTGGATTACATAATAAGAAAGGTACTATTAACAGCAAATTTGTCCCTTGTTCTCAGACATAAAATTTGCAAAGATATGAAGCCAGGTGTCTGGTACTGTGGAAATCACTTCAGAGATGAACACCACCAAAACTGTTTTTAACTGGCTGTTCTGGAGGTGTTTCCAGATGCGAAAGCCTTTGTTTAGGGAAATCTGCTAAGTTGCCAGGTGACAATAAGGTTATCTAAAACAGAATTTACAGAATTGGGATAAAATACAAAAATAAACAGATAGAATCACAGATCTATCTTACGCTAAATACCTCTCTCTATTATTCAGGGACCCCTAGATTTTAATTATTGTATTTTCAAACACTTGACTTAGATTATGGTAGGAATTATACTACTGTCATTTAGTCAACTTTAGCAGCCGTTGCTTTCATTAAAACCAATGGAAGCAAGACTAGATGCAAACCTATTTACAGCAAAGCCAACCAAGCAACCCAAAAACCCAAACATACCCCAAACCCCATAATTTATAAACCACTTTCTTTGGTACAGCTCGTGTACAGCTCCATGAGAACCATGAGGGGGTACATTAATCCCTTTGCAAGGCTGAAGAAGGCAAGTGTCAGATGGACGACTCTTTATAACGGGTCTACTCAGACTATTTCTCAGACATTGAAACTTCCGCAACTATTTAAGATTTCTTCATGTTCTCTGGCTGTAATCTGTTCTTTTCAGACTAAACATGGACATTCTCAAACTGAAACAGTTTTCCAACCAACATTGCAGAAGATTTAGAAAAGGAAAAAAGTCATTTCTGTCGTACACAGTTAAGGGAAGACCCACAATGAGGAACTCAAAACTAAGACTCTGCTTTTATACAGAAATTCCAAGAAAAGAGGAGTGGGGCAACAAGTATAATGAACCTCCAAGGAATGATCTTTAAGAAGGATGAAACATTAGACAGTTTTCAAGCGTATCTTAAGCAGATATTATTGTGAAAATGGCTATAAGGAGCTTTTGTTAGTGTTACAAATTTAACTGGAAGCAGCCTTCTGTCACAGTAATGAAGCTGTTACTATAAATATTTTACAATGGAGAAATGAGCTTTTAGCAGCTAATAAAAATATATATATTTAAAGAAACATTGCATTACCCAGGTCAGCATTATGTTTCACCTCTGGTTTCCTTTTTTTCACACCTTCTTCATGTTTCTTTTTTACTGAAGGCTATAATCCTTGAGAGAGGAGGTACTGAGGTTCTGCACAAATGTAATAGTCTAAACCTGTCTTTTGGGTTTTTTTTCAGATTGAGACTAAGAATTTAACAATTTACAAGACAACACCTTTGCTTGAGGCCTTCTTTCAGCTTTGATTAATTAAAAGTACACCTTTGATACAAAGTGGGATCTCTGTGAGGTGGGCGGCATTGCATTCTCCAGTGTATTTAACAGAGCACAACATAATAGATGCAATTTAGGGCTCTTGCATACTGCTCATCTCTTTGGTGGCATAAATTTAGAACGTGTTAAAAGGTTTAATGCTTATAAGACTTAAGCAAGTTACAGCAATGTTACAGCAAGCCAAAAAAAAGAAAAAAAAAGGGCTATTATGCATTCTCTCAGGAATCTGTCTAAGGAAGTTATGGGTGTAGCTGCAGCGCCCTTTGGCTTTGGTGAAAGCCTGGAGCAGGAAGTATTGTGGGATGTCCCTGGGGAAACTTACAGAAACAAAGGCTATAAAGTAAGAGAAAGATCTCGATAAAAGAATTTATATAGAAGCTGAGGAGAAATGAGTCTCCTATTGGACTGAGAGTCTAGAAGAGGATTATCTTCCTTCTGGAATTGACAGTTTATTGCAGAAAAAGAAATGCAATGCTATGGCAATGATGGGTTCCCCCAGCATGGTTTCTGGGACCTCGCTGGTCCCAGAAAAAAAAAACTGGAGTTTTTTTTCTATTATGCTATTTTGTTAATTATGGCTGTAACAGCAACTTAAGCAACAGAAAGGATTTTAAACCACTTGGGAAAGTAGTCAGGATTTTGTGATTGACTATTCTTTTGTGATTTCTGTAAAATGAGTGGGACTCAATGCAGTGGGACTCCAAATCTTACCCTCCTCACCACTGACCCCAGAGCTGCTCCAAAGGTGGTGCCGTGAAAGCCCACACTTACCCCTGCAAAGAGCTGTCACTGACAAACATGGTTTCAGAAAATGTTCAAAGTAGTCACACGGCCGCATGTCTGACTTTTTTTCCTAAAAGTAGAAGTTACCTGGTTAAATCTATTCTGGAAGAATATCATCAGTTGTTTTTGGAGTATTCAGAAAGTCCTGCTTTGTTTGCAAATTTAGACCAGAGAACGAACAAAAGTAATTTTTCAGCTTGAACAAAACCATATATTTGAAGCTAGAGGCAAATATCAGGACACCTTCTTGCTCGAACATTATGGGCCAGACTACAGCAAATGGTGGAAATCAGTTCAACGACACTATTTCGCCAGTTCCCAGTAACTGAACCTCTGACTCTGGGCTGAGCTGCCCCATGGTCAGACTCCAGTGCTTACACCCGCCAAAGTTTCAGCTCCACAGACCTGCAGAAGGGCACGAGCGACCAGCTGCCCTGCAGACACACATTTTAAGAATAGTTTCAGTGTCTGCACCAACGCCTTCACTTGCATAAAGCACTGGGCACTGCCCAATTTTGCAAAAAGTCATGTTTATCATGTTAAGTTTCTTTAAGAAAGAGGGAGACCAGAATTAGTCTCCTTGAAACTCTTTCTTCTGCTGCTGCAGCTATTTTAAATATAGATTTTTTTTGGTGTAAAAAAACAGACGTGTGCCTAATGCCAAAATTCCAGTGCCAGATATTATATGCGTGTTTACTTCACAGCATCATTCAAGCCCCAGAGCTGACTGGTCCAAGTAGTTTTAATAATTACTTAATAATATTGCAGCAGTTCCTCAGGAAGTTCCCACATGAAAAATCCACTGCTGGCAGATTGAGGAGGGAAGAGGTTCAGGCAGAAATTCCCCCTCTTGCATACACATCGTTAGCATTTTATGTAGATCTAAACATGTGAAGAATATAGCTTTCACCCACAGATGGCGATGAACACAATCTATGCCTTCCCAAAGATAGAAAATTACATATTTAGACTCAAAGAAATGCCAACGTATGGCTTAAGGAAAGGGGTTCTAGCTTATGTCGAAACAGCATAATCAATTTGGCATGAAAAAAGTGAGAGTCCGATTGGTATAACATCTACCCATTCACCAGGCTGCTGTGCAACCCAGGAAAGCGCAGGCTCTGAGAAGAAAACTGCCTCATCCTAATAAGGCAGAGCTGTCTGCTAGCGACATAGTCTGGATGCCTTCTATATGAACTAATGCAAACCATCGGGAGAGCTGCTTCTGTGCGGCTGAGGAGCTGTATCATCTTTCCATCAATAACAAAGTATTATCATCTTTGCAGGATTATTCGTGCTGAGTTGCACACAAATGCTTTGCTCGCATGCGTGCTGCATGAAAATCTCATGTTACAAGAAAAAACACTTACCGATGTCCTGGGTTACCCTCTGCATCGCCTTCAATATGAAAACGCAGTGAAAAAAACCCTGGTCATCATGACTGAATACTAAGCACTTTTTTTCTGCACAGGGAATATAAAATTATAGCAAATATTTGGTTTATTTTTGACTCTGGAGTAAAATGATACTGCTTCTTAGTTTGACTTCTCAGGACCTCCCTTTGTTTAGATTTAACTTGATATGAATGAATCCTTTAGAAATAATAGATGTGCTTTGGAACAGAAGCCAACAGCTCAGAAGAAGGGCACCTATCCAAACAGCCAAGCTTCTGCCTATTGCTGAGCGGAGATGGCAGGGTATCTGCTGAGGTAAGAGCTGCTGCTCCCTTATTTTGAAGGGATGTCTTTATTTCTTGATATATTTATAACAGTCATATCCACTACTTTAATGCGTTTCAGGGAGAGCCACATCTCCCTACTGACGTCAAGAGAAGCAGCTGAAAATAGGCCAATAACAATTTTTGGGTTTTAAAGAAGGCTCTGTGGCTGTGCAGGAAGGAGGAGATTTCTTGTTACAAGCACAAATAAGAAAAAAGGTCATTTACAAAGAAAAAAGTGAGTAAATCATGTCAAAATTATTCATGTTTTGCTGTAGCGCTTATATTTTGTTGCCAAAGAATGATCCTTCCTGCAATAAGATTTCCATCTGAATTATTAGGAGATTTGCTTGATTAAGGGCTGAAAGTTGTGGCTTTTGTTCTGAAACTTCATTTTGGTCTATTGGCATTGTGGACCTTTCCCATTCAATCAGAAACACACAATATATTAAAATGAAAATGAATGCTCAGCTATATCTACTACATCTTACTGTTTTCTCTCAATAACTATAAAAATCTATTTAAAATACGGTGACATCTTGTACTTTTCCTACTGCCTGCAGTAATCAAATATGGCTCTACTGGCCTCCTAATCCCTCTCCATGCCCTCCTTCCAGATTTCTTCCCAGAACGGGGTATTAGCTTGAAAGAGAGCTAGGAATTGGGGTGAGGGTAGAAGAATGTGCTGTGATGCTCACGGGTGAATAAACAGTGCAACTGAAAAGATTTTGATTAAACAGAGATGTTTATCTTGGCACAGAAGAAAGCATGAACTTATTCATCTCGCATTTTTATGAGGTGGTTTGTTTTTACCATCTTTGGGGCTCTCTAAACTTTGGTTACAATTAATTTTCAGTTCAGAGGAGATGCCCTCACTTGCTCATCAATTACTCAGGAAATGAAGGTAGCCCCGACATTCAGATGCAGAAAGGAACCTCCACCACAAACCTGCCAGTTACTGGAAGCAGCTCCTTTAATAGCAAACTTCTGCAAAAAGAGAAGATACGCAAGAGGTGCATCAGACCAATCATCAATACACCTCTATAGCTAACAAAAGAGAAAAGAAGTTGGAATTTTGAAACATACTTTTATAAACCCTTCTAATGAATGTATATACACAGAGCTAAGGAAAATTATGATGGAACTCTTTGACGTGCCATCTTCTACAGATATGCCTTTTCTCTACCAACAAACCACATGAATCAAACTCTGCCTGTGGGAGGAGAGAAGCTGGGTCTGACTAGGGATCTACAATTCACTTATGAGGCCTCCTATTTCACTTGTAATTCTCTAATAGTTCAATTCACTTACAATTCACTATTTCACTTGTAATTCTCTAATAGTTTCAAGTTGCTAGTCATATGATTTCCACAGAGGGCAACTTCCCTGCATGAATTATGGTTTCCAGTTCAAATTTCACAGAATCACAGAATGGTCAGGGTTGGAAGGGACCTCTGGAGATCATCTAGTCCAACCCCCCTGCCAGAGCAGGGTCACCTACAACAGGTTGCACAGGACAGCGTCCAGGCGGGGTTTGAATGTCTCCAGAGTGGGAGACTCCACCACCTCTCTGGGCAGCCTGTGCCAGTGCTCCACTACCCTCAAAGAAAAGAAGTTCCTCCTCATGTTAAGATGGAACTTCCTGTGTTCAAGTTTGTGCTCATTACCTCTTGTCCTATCACTGGGCACCACTGAAAAAAGACTGTTCCCATCCCCCTGGCACCCTCCCTTTAGGTATTGATAAGCATTGATAAAATCCCCCCTCAGTCTTCTCTTCTCCAGACTAAAAAGACCCAAGTCCCTCAGCCTTTCCTCACAAGAAAGATATTCCAGTGCCCTCATCATCCACATTTGAGGAGATGGACAGACACAGTTATTTGAACTTGCAGATCTTGGAACAGTGCGTCTCCGTTGGAGCAACAGAGGGGGATTGCAGTACACTTGGCAAAGACCAAAAGGTGAGCAAGTTACAGTGTGGCAGAGTGCCACTGAAGCACCACCGAGGTGCCCTGCCAAGTCCTTGTATGTGTAGTCAATGTAGAAAGCCATCTAAAATTTTCCAGAAAACAGTTTTCATATGACTCACATCTTCTACAGGTAAAAAAAAAAAAATAAAAAATTAATTATTTCCCCTCTAAGTCCCTAGCAAACAAGACAAGAACAAATGCTGGCACATCAGCATTTCGCACAAGGCGGAAATCATCATTTATGGCCACTTTATACTTTGTATAAAGGATCTTATTCCTTTGCACCAGAAACTGTCAGCACACAGCAAACACCAGTGACACATCTAAGTGTAGATACTCAGCACTATGAGCCCCAGCACCTACAGCTGAGAAAGCCATTCATTTGGTAAGCCAAATTCAGAGCCTCCTTCTGCTCACCCTGAAGAAATGCTCCATCATCGTTCCACTGCTTACACTCTGTCTGCCATCCACAGAAAGCCTGGTGACTCAGAACTGCCCTCTCTTGGGCAAAAGAAAATGGAAGACACTAGAAAACAGGAGTACAAGAAAATAAACCTCCTTAAAGCCAGGAAAGGCTTTTTTTTTTTTTTTTTAATTTATTTTGAAGTGGGCTGGCCAGAGAGGAAAACTTCTTTCCTCTTCCTCCGTGTTGCTGGAGTTCTCTAAGCATGCTCCTAGTCCAGACTGAGGTTGGGAGGGACCTCACTCACCTTTAACATCAGCTGTATTGCAGGTTTACTAGACTGAACACCCTCATTCTGGTTGAGAAATAGTTCCCTCATTTCACTGCTTTCTTTACTCCCTTAAGTTTCTGTCTGCTCTCTCCATGTCCC